TCAAAAGTGCAAAAAAAAAGAAAAATATGTTCACATAACTGTCTCATTCTTTCTTCTTCTATGACTCATTTCACAGTATGTGTGTAAAAAATATACTTCTCTTCAGAATGCCACAGGTGGTATCACTAGTAAAATTCAGTGGTTGGGAATGAGCGTATACATATTTGCTATTAGCTGTGAGGCAAAATAATAATAATAATAATAATGCTCATTTCACTGCCTCATTTTTTCTACTTCACTTCCTCATTTCACAGTGTGTGTGTTGGAGTAATATACTTTCATCAGATTGCCACATGTTGTATCAATAGTAAATTTCAGTGGCATGGAATGACATTATGTATATTTGCTATTAATTGTGAGACCACTAGTTTCAATGATTGGGAATGAAAGTATACAAATTTGCAACTAATTGTGATGCAAAAAAAAAAAAAACATTGCTCACATAATTATCTCATTCTTTCTTCTTCTATGACTCATTTCACAGTGTGTGTGTGTGTGAGAAATATATTTCTCTTCTCATCAGAATGCCACAGATGATACCACTAGTAAATTTTAGTGGCATGGAATGGTGGTATGCATATTTGCTACTAGCTGTGAAGCCAAAAAAAAAAAAAAAAGAAAAACATGACTCACATTACTGTCTCATTCTTTCTACTTCTCTGTCTAATTTCACAGTGTGTGTGTGTGTGTGTGAAATATATTTCTCTTATCATCAGCATGCCCTAGGTGATATCACTAGTAAATTTCATTGGCTTTGAATGAAATTAGACATATTTGCAACTACCTGTGAGGTCAAAAAAAAAAAACACGACCTATATTACTATCTCATTTTTTCTACTTCTCTGCCTCATTTCACTGGTGTGTGTGTCGAAGTAATATACTCCTATTTTCATCAGATTGCCACAAGTAGTATCACTAGTAAATTTCAGTGGCATGAAATGATATTATGCATTATTGCTACTAGAATAGAAGCACCAACCCAAAAAAATGCAGTCGAATCTTATTGCTACTAGCATAGAAGCACCAACCCAAAAAAATGCAGTCGAATCTACACAGTGTAGAGCAAAAAGAAATGAAAATGTCTCAAAAAATATTAGGAGCGGGGATATCGCAATAATGTGGACTCCGGCACGTCAGTTAGGGTGGAGGAAGAAGAAGCTCCGCCGGAAATAGAAAGAGCAGAAACAAGAATGCGGGGTCGAAAGAGGGGTATGCACGTAAAAATCTTGAGAATAAATGCGGGCCACGGGGTCGATCTCGCGACCCTCTTATTGTTGTGCGGCGGGGTGCGCCCCCGCCGCCACGCGCGCCCCCAAACAACGAAATGTCACGGCCTGCTGCCGCTACGCGCTAAATCAGCAATAGAGCCTTAATATCTTGTAGTGTAAGCTTGAATGCTTGATTGCACAACTGAAACATTTTACTCCACTGATACTGTTAACCTTCTGGCTGCACAAACCCAACTACTTGTCCATTCAATCACAAATTTTCCCCATCTAAATCTATCCCCTTTAGCTCCAAAAGCTCTACCAATATTACTAGCCCCTCCAATCCTTAAATGATACAAGGCCATCATATGCCATCAAATTTTCTTCAAGCAAATCTTAGAGAGCACCATGGTTTAATGCCTTTTTTTTTGTTTTATTTTTTGCATGCTTACTTTGTGCATGTTGTTTTATATATTAAAGCACGCTAGTACCTTCATTATATGTTTCAAGTACTTTAATATTTTATGTTTGATCAATAATTAGTGAATAAGAATCATTATTGTTGTTCACTTTTCTATGTCTCTTCTCTAATTATATTCCATCCCAAAATATTCTCTTTTACTTGCAACTAAGATCCCTCTCCCTTGTTCTCACTCTAATATCCTGGTTCCTCTCAAGCTCTCTCTCTACTTCAAGGAAAATAAAAAGAACATGAATATTTTCTGCTATAATGCATCTGTTTCGATTATTAGTGGGGAAAATAATAAATACTTTTGGAGATGTTTCAAGATCTAAAGAATGTAACACAACTCCCTCTTCGTGAAGTTCTCAAAGGCCAAAGTACGTCTTTTTTCTCATCATGTTCTTCCTTCTCACTTTCTTGTTACCATTTACCAGCTTCTTTCTCCCCACAGATTTCCCTTTTATAAAGCTTGTTCATTGATTTCTGATGCAGGGACATCTGTTCTACTGATTTTTTGTTATTACTCCCGTTTCCCAAGCTCCCTCCCTTGCTTTTGCTTGCATCTCACTGCATGTTTTTGTGTGTTTATTTGACTGAGATCTGTATCTCTGCATGCTGAAATCTATTTTGCTGCAACTCATCTGTTCTGCTGCTGTCATTTGCTTGTTTTCCTCCATTTTAGCTGCCTTTCCTCAACTGTCCTGCTTTTGTTATTTGCTTACTTTTTCTGCACTGTAGCTGCCTTTCCATTCTGTAGACGCCACTGAATTTTTCCTTAAAATTTTATTTCTGCGCTATTTTCTGTTCCATCATTTGTCCCAAGTGTCTCCATTTGCAAACCAGTGTTTTGCCATCGTCCACGTCCATGCTACCCTGCAGTTTATGTTTTACTGGTCTCTAATATGGAAAAAATTTTTGCATTATATTTCCAAAAGTTCATGCATGTTTTCCAAAAGCTCCTATCGTAATCTTTTCTAACTTTGTCTAGCAAAGTGTTCTTGCTGCATCTTACAATAGCGGACTGGTCAAATTACCTCAATTCTCTTTTGTCGTGAAAGAAGCACTTCAAGTACATTGGATCCTTGGTATTTTCAGTACCCTTAGAGAATCTTGTTAATATGTGCTTTGTTATTTTTACCAGTGGTCAATATGTGATTATGCAATCTTGAGCGTTGCGAAATTGGATGTTGGATTGAAATAAGTTGTTCTACTGCATTTTTTTTTTTGTGTAAAAGGAAACTTGTCTATTTTAGTAAGTATATATTTTTTAAGAAAATTGATATTTGTTTGGAGATAACGTTACAAAATTTTTCTTGCGCTGACGTCATTTGTGCTTTTTCTTTACTTTTTTTGTTGCAATTTTCTGTTTGATTTATTTCTTCTATAATAAAAGTGTTTTTGGAAATTTCTATTTTTGTTTGAGTGGCATCCAACTGAAACGTGCTTGGTTTATCAGCTTAAGATTCACTGGTAGTCAGGTTTTACTATTTCTATTGTATACAGTCATTTCTCTTTGGTAGATTTTTCATTTTTTTCTTTTTCAATTGCTACAGCCTTTGTTGGATTTTTTTTTTACTTGCATGGAGAAGCGTTCCTCTTATTTGCATTAGAATGATGTTGTCATTTTTTAATGCCTTGTTTGGTTTTCATTGAAGTATCAAACCCTCATCCAGTAAGCCTGTTTTACTAAGATCGTTTGTCCTTTTAAAGTTTGCCATCTACATCAAACTCCAACAGGCTTGATGATGAAATTGATGGTTCAGATACTTCACTCATTTATTTATTTCTATCTCTAGCAACCCATGATTACATGAACCCTGAACACTTCGTTCATTTACTAATTTCTATCCCTAGCAACCCATGATGCATGAACACTGAACGTGGACACTACATTTGTGTGTATATGTATAGGATTATATTCTCTTAATGGTAATTAATAAATAATGAAAAATAAATTCTTCTACACAGTAAATATAATTTTAACCCAAAAGTCTTATATAATCTAAAGACCAGAGGGAGATCTAAGTGCAATTATGAGGTTGCATGTGTTCCACCCCTTGGCCCCATCCTCCCCTCCCTGGAATCTCATAATTCATATTATTTCTCTTACAAAATATTTATTTTTTAAGGGTCCGTTTTAGATTGATTTTTTGTTTTTGAAAATATATTTGATTGATATAATTTTATATGTTTTTATTTTTATTTTTAAAGAGAAATCAAATTATTTTTAAAAACATTTACAGCACGTAAAAGATATTTTAAGTGTTTTGAAAAACAAATAACTCAATCAAATGTTTTTTAATTAAAATTATAACTTAAATAAAATAAAATAAAAACAAAAATGATTCCATATGGTCCCTAAGCTTTTTATTTTTATAGCATTCCACGCATAATTTATTAGTTAATGGATACATGTTTCTCCTTTTTACATTAACAAAATAAAATAAAAACAAAAATGATTCCAAATGGCCCTAAGCTTTTTTTTTTTTTTTTAATAGCACTCCATGCATAATTTAGTTAATGGGCACATGTTTCTCTTTTTTGCATTGCCCACCTTTCTCATTTGAAATGTGATTTGAAGTTCACCTTTTATTACTATGGGTATAGACAGATGCTTCTATCCATAGGTTTCCTTATGCCATGATTTTGGTACAATTATGAGGATGAAAATGATTTAATAAAATAGATAAATAGATATAAGCATGTCTATCAATTTTTAGTTGTGTTATGAATTTGCTATCCCAATGGGAAAAAAAAATTAGCAGTTTAATAAAATTAATATTAAGTCGAATTCAATGGGTTCTTAAAATTCTTTTGACTCGATTCTGGTATATTTTCTTCTATTGGGAAAGTTTTGCATGACAGATATTAAGAAAATTAACATCAGAATAATTTTGAAATTTATTTAATATTCTTTCTATGGTATAGATTAGTATTTTATGTTTCTTTTTCTAAATAGTTAATAATTGAATATGATGATAATTACTTGAGATGTTGGCCCTGCTTCTCGTCAAAGCAATGTAGAAAAATAGGCCAATGAGTTATATAAATGGTTTTATTTCTTTGTCCATAGAAACAGGCTAGATTTAATTTTTAAAACAAAAACCCAAAAATACCAAAATATTAACTATTTTTGCTCTTATTTTGCCATGGTGGCTAGATTGTACCTAATTGAGTTGGAAATTAGGCACCGAAATTCAGTTTTTTCGGAAGTTCACTCAACCATTCCTACCATCCTTGTTCTTCCCTTTGTACAATTTTTGTTCAATATGACCGAGTGTTCTAGCATAGCCTTCTCGGATGAATTGACACTGTTTTGGTGAACTTAGGTGCTTGGTTAACAAGAAATACTTGATCGCTGGTGGCGGCGCTCCAGAAATTGACATGTCACTTCGACTGGCTGCGTGGGCGAAGGAGCTCAGAGGAATGGAGAGCTACTGCATTAAGGAGTTTGCTGAAGCTCTTGAGATCGTCCCCTACACATTAGCTGAGAATGCTGGGCTCAACCCCATTTTTATTGTGACCGAGCTGCGGAACCGACATGCCAAAGGTGAAACCAATGCCGGCATAAATGTGAGGAAGGGCCAAATCACAAATATTCTCGAGGAAAATGTGGTTCAGCCACTTCTGGTCAGCACCAGTGCTGTAACTCTTGCGATTGAATGTGTGAGGATGATTCTAAAGATTGATGATATAGTTACTGTCAGGTAGATTGAATTGTTGTGTTCTAGTTTCATGGCTGGTTGTAGTGAGGAGGAATCTTATGTTATTGTGTTTTTTTTGGTGAGACCTGCAGGTTGGGGGTGAACTGTGTTTCAATCAACTTTGTGTTCTTAACTTTTTTTGTTTTGTTTCTGGATTGAAAATTTTTAACTTTGTTTTTTTTTTTTATGCCAGGAGTTTCTAAACTCCATAGAGATGGAGTGTGAATGGTATAAAAATGGTTTTGGGTTATGTTCATTGATGCAGTTCTTCCAAATGTGATTCTTGTGCGTTATTGTAAAGGAATTAAAGAATTGTGTGCTTTATTTTTTAGGTTGATCATGCTTCAGACTTTTAAAAGAATTGATAAGGGTTGTAATCAGAAGATAAGAAGAGAGGTCTAGTGTGGCCAGTCAACAAAATTAGCTAAACATATGATAATCAAATGTCAAATAAGTGAAGTAAAGTAGGGAATTTGAGTAGCTCAGTCTTCTTAAGAAAATTAGGCTCTCTTAAATTTAAGCACTCTTGAGGACACGTTCAAGTGAACTCCCTTGCAGTGCCAATCATATGCCTTTATTTCAATTTGCTTAGATTAGTATTAAGGAATACTATGATTTAAACAATGCTTGGAGCCTATTCCTCTGTTAGCCATAAAGTAAAAATCGTAGCCAAGTGTTTTTTATTTTTTCATATAAAGAAAATACACAATCATAAGTGTTGAATCACCAAAGTAAAATGGTGTGGGGTGGGATCCCAAAAAAAATAATAAAAATGAAAAAAAAGTAGGGCAGGCTGAAAAAAAAAAGTGAAGAAAATTATCTAATTTAGGATTTCACGGCTCCATGATCTTGACATATTGAACTTGATCTTTTTTTATGACGGATGTCGACCCAACATAATTTTTAAATATTGTATAAACAGTCATGATATGTGTTAAATTTGAATCTATTTGTGAATCACACTCAAAGAATATAATGTAAGTGGAGAGCGAGATAAAGAGGAATGCATGGTAATGAAAAGTAAATTGGATTGTTGATTAACCATTTCTCATAAAATGATCCCACGGTTTATAGTTACCGGGGGGGTTGGGTAAAAAAAAATCCATTTAGAGTCAAAATTCTTATTGTGCAGACAGTTATGTGAACATATTATATATTCAGTCACCCCCAACTCTACATCTTCTAAATAAAGAGTTATATTACTTTGTGTTCTTAACTTTTTTTGTTTTGTTTCTGGATTGAAAATTTTTAACTTTGTTTTTTTTATATGCCAGGTGTTTCTAAACTCCATAGAGATGGAGTGTGAATGGTATAAAAATGGTTTTGGGTTATGTTCATTGATGCAGTTCTTCCAAATGTGATTCTTGTGCGTTATTGTAAAGGAATTAAAGAATTGTGTGCTTTATTTTTTAGGTTGATCATGCTTCAGACTTTTAAAAGAATTGATAAGGGTTGTAATCAGAAGATAAGAAGAGAGGTCTAGTGTGGCCAGTCAACAAAATTAGCTAAACATATGATAATCAAATATGTGTAATTACATGTTTGCACTTGTTTTAATGGTGGCATTTTCAGGATATTTTGGGTATTTAACAAATAAAAGCATGTGGTTCTGTAAACACCCTTGGTTACACTAGGCCTAATATTGTTGGTCAACACTGGGGTGACTTTGTGCCTGCGAGTTTTGATTCAGTCGGCTTTGTTTCACTGACTGACCATCCTAGTTTAGTTATCCCTAGTTGAGGAGCTCCAATTGACGGGAGGAGACTAGGCTATCAAGCAATAGGTGAATCACAATAACATGATGTGTAGCTCATAACCCGATGAAGGGATCTTTTGGGACATTCTTGGATCTATGTGCATATTTCAGTTTCACGATTCACTTCTTCAAAACGACAACTGAGATATAAAGAAAATAATTACATGTAAAAAGTAAACTCATTTATTTCATAATTGATACTTTAATAATTACGCACCTTGGATTTTTGTGCTCATGATTTTTGTAAATAGGATGTGATTAACGTGTTTATTTTTCACTTGTTTTTGCATCTATGTGCCTTGATCGATCGACCTTTAGAGCATATGCATATCGAACGACGAGAAACCTTTGGATGTTATGCCAACTGAGGATATGATGAGGAAGGCCTTTGGTCTGCCTCCGACTCAAGCTCAGCCTGAGGTGAAGAAGAAACCTCAAAGTGAAAAGAAGCTTGAAGGGAAGAAGAGGTTGAAGGGAGGAAGTTGACTGGAAGGTGAGGCAGACGAAACAACTTTCTTACAAAAAGTGAAGAGCAAATGAACTGATGGATGAAGTGGGGTCATCTGACTCGCTTTAAGGCATTCGGCGGGAGAAAGATAGGGCGGAAGGAAATAGGTTCGGCGGCTCGACCAATAACACGTCCTCCCCGCCTTTCAATGTGATACATGGTTAGCCAATCGACTCCCCTGTGCGGTGAACAGCTTAAGCCTCTACGTCTGAGAAGCTGGAATTTGCTTGTAGTTCGCTATCGGTTGGTGGGAAAGAGACCGTGAGTGCTCCATTACTGCCTAGTGACAGTTGCACATTGCTTTTGTGGTCTCAAATGGATCGGCTTCTTTGTACGAGGAGACCTAATATCTTTGTTTAATAAAACTTTTCCCATATTAGAGACGAGGTGATGGAGACATTGAATCTCCTCTGGGAGGTGATGGTCAGGGACCACCTTAAAGACCAGTGGGGAGAACATCGATGCTAGTCATTTTTTAGGGGAACGTGGTCAATTACTCGACCAATTCGTAAGGAGTCCATGAGGAGGCGGCTAACAGAAGGTAAGTCCCTCGAGTCGCTGGCCAATTACTTGGATGAAATGGAAGAGTCCTTTGTTAGGGCAGTCCAGATGCAAAGAGAGGAGATAAAGGAATTGCGAGTGAAGATGGCAGCCCTTAGGCTGGAGCATACAAAATAATTGACAATTCTCTGATCAGATTTGGTGATTGTTCAGAAGACTTGATTGATGCTCTAGTTCCAGGCTGAAGTGGATAGTGTAGATAGGTTTAGGTTTGGTGTGAAGTTTTTGTATCTGATACTGTTTTAGCAAGGACTTGTCTCAGCCGAAGGGAAAATATTTTTTGTTTGAATAAAATTCTGTTTTTATTATTTTTTAAAAATTTATTTTCATAATTATCTCTTTCGAATATCATGTTGATATGATGTGTTTTTTATTTAAAATTGAGGTACGACCTCATGATGGTTATGCTTCTTTTGGTGCTCAATATAAAGGGTTGAGGGTTAGTTTTCTGGCATTATGCTCTGAATCTCTCTTGCCTCTTTCTTTGACTTCCTTGTCTTCGCTTTGTTCGCTTTTTTTCAAATGACTCTAAAGTATTCCGCCAAACTCTTTGGGTTGATCCCAGTGACCAAGAGGTCCTTCATGTCATCAAGGGATGTGTCTTTGTTGCAAGAGACTTGTGTTTTGGATGAGGATATCTATCTCTGAGTTGTGGGGCCATCTGATAGGGAAACCATTCAATTTGAGACATATCTCTTCTTCTACTTAAACCAGTTCCAGCGGGGTTTTGGGTTGTCGTTTTGGCACGAGTTGTAGTTTATCCTCGATCACTTTGGCATGATCCCAACCCAAATTAAGCCAAATTCATTTGTAGCTATCATGAAATATGTCCGGTTGTCGTTTTGACACAAGTTGTAGTTTATCCTCGATCACTTTGGCGTGATCCCAACCCAAATCAAGCCAAATTCATTTGTAGCTATCATGAAATATGTCATCTAGTGTTGCTAAGTTGGGATTTCGTGGTCATGAGAATTATTATCCTATATCTTCTCCTTTTGAATTGATCTAGATGCCAATGTTCTTTTTGGTCGACCGACAAATTCAACCTACTGGGTTTTGAAAATAGGATCGAGGACTGTAAGCAACAATTCCTCCTGAGGTCCTCGAGCCACTGAGGGATCATGTCTTGCCCAATCAGACTAGTGTATAAGAAAAAGAAATTCATTCCTCCCCTAACTTTGGTTGAGGATTAATATGTTGAAGGAAGGTAGCCCTTGGTCCACAAGTACACTAAGAGGAAAGTGGTAAACTGGGTTTTGCAGCTGAAATAATTCGGTTCCACGACTGTGGCCATGTGGCAGAATTGGACGCCCAAGAGAAATAATAAGAGATCAACAAGGTTGCGCTGATCTCTCGAAAGAAACAATGAAAGGTGGCCATCCACTAAAAAATTGTAGGTGTAGCGAGCAGAGGGACATCAACTATCCAAGTCGGTGAAGGGGCCAAAGGTTTGGATTTTATATATTCAATTTTTGAGACTATAGTTATGACTATAGTTATAATAAGACATCAACTATAGAGAATCTCCACTATAGTTGATGAAAGAAAACTTTCTTTTCTAAATGCAAGCCCTTCAAGAGAGCAATGTGGCAGTTGATCCCGACTTTCTATATAGACGTAAAATGTGATGTATGCGATTATATGCTTAATTTTCTTAATAGTTATTCTTAATTTGCAGCAAAATCAAAAACTTGATTGAAACAATATCTAAGTAAGCTTTCCACTATGAAACAAATAAGAATACAATTATACTATTTAAATATGGGATACTACACAAGTATACGTATCGTTGTCAAGTAATATAGGACTTTTTGATTAAGCCCTGAATATCGATGTTTAAATGAAAAAAATTTACTTCATAAAATATTCTTACTTAAACTTAAGATGCTATAATAGGAATGAAACTTTGATTCTCTTTGTAATTTTTGATTTATATAAATAAAGTAAGCAACTAATTAACTTGACTAAATATTTGCAAGATGAAGGTTATATAAATAAAAAAATTTTTCCTTATCATGAATCAGTAATAAGTATAAAAATTATGTTGTGGAAGTATGCTAAATGTGTTGTGCCAAATAGAAGCAATTATATTCTTTACCCTTACTAGAGATGCTATAAAGAATATCAGTTAATCTATAGTTTGAATAGTCTTGAAGACTGGTTAGGTAGGGAAGATACCGGCTCTCACTCTAGAGTTCCCTCTTCTCCCGCCACCTGGGGGCTAACATCTCGTATTAAAACCTAAAACTATAAATCAAATTGGGGGCTTTAGCCTGTCACTCTAAAGTCCTCTAAGTCTATACCCTTGAAAAGTTTATTTCCCTATTTATTTGCACTTAACCCCATGAACTACATTCTCATTCATGAAATCAATATGTGATTCTAACCATTTGTTGATTGAAACAATACCATCTCAGATCTTACATGTTCTCACAACATGTATTAACATCTTGATTGGTCAAATCAAGAAGTAAATGAAGTGCAAGGTTTCAAATCATCACAACTTCTTCCAACATTGAAGTATAATACTTCACAATATCCTTTAAACACTTAATCACTTATTATTTTAAGAAAAAAGATAAAGAAAACTACTCAGAATACATGGAGAAAACACAACCACACGTGAGTTTAAAAGTAGAAATCATGCACACAAACAAGAAATCTAGATTAAAACGAAGTGTAGTCATAAAAATAAACACTTATCTCAAATTCTCTCCACAAAATGTCTTGAAGTTCTTTTAAATTCTATTTCTTCACTCACAATACAAACTAAAACTCAAAATAAAAAGAAAGTGAGCGGCTATGGGCAGCGGCGGCGGCGGTTACTTGGATGGATGATGGTTGTAAAATCTAATGGGTTGTTGGCCTTCTTTCTTGGATAATCTATGTCTTTTCTTATAAAAATCCAATGGGTGTCTTGGTGTCTCTTCAAAAAGGTGTCTCCATTAAGTGAATCTTCTAGAAGTTGCCTCCTCAAAAGCCAATTCAATAACTTTTCATTTCCATGAGATAGTTCCCACATTTTTACCAAGGGTTGCTTCAAACACCTCTTCGAAAATTTGTCTAGATTCAATGAATCATCAAATAACTACTTGTGGCGCGTGAGGTACTTAGAGCTTAGGAACGAGCCTCTGGCGCTTAGGCGCCTCAATTCATTTTTGCACGTTTCTTCATTTTTTTTGCTCCAAATTTCATTATTTTTCACTCCTTTTAGCATTTTTCATCTATTTGATTGTACCTGAAAGAAAACCACACAAATACGCTTCATTAAAGCACTATATCTCAAAATTAAGCATAAAAATGTGCATAAAAATGTGTAGAAAAACTCATTGACATCGATCAGCAATTTGATTCTCAGCTTCCTTCTTATCTACTATTTCAAAGTCAAATTATTGTAAAAAAAGAATCTATCTTATCAATCTTATTTTTGCATCCTTCTTTTTCATTTAATACTTAATAACAGAATGATCTGTATGCACAATACATTTAGTTCCAACTAAGTATGATCTAAATTTATCAAAAGCATATACTACTACTAATAACTCTTTCTCGGTTGTGGTATAATTAATTTGAGCTTCATTAAAAGTTCTACTGGCATAGTAGATAACTTTGAAAATCTTATTATGCTTTTATCCTAAAACAGCTCTAATAGCATAATCACTAGCATCGCATAACAATTCAAAAGGTTTTTCCCAATATGGTGAAATAATAATTGGTTCAATGACTAATTTTTCTTTTAATTATTCAAAACCTTTTAGGCACTCTTTATCAAAATTAAAAATTCCAACTTTTTCAATTAAATGACAGAGGCTTAGAAATTTTTGATAAGTCTTTAATATATCACTTATAAAATCCAACATGCCCTAAAAAATTCATAATTTCCTTCACACTTGTTGGGTGAGGTGAATTAGTGATCAATTGAATTTTTGTAGGGTCTACTTTAATCCATTTTCTAAAATTTAATGTCTTAAAACTATTCCTCCTGCTGCCATCAGTTGGCATTTTTCTCAATTAAGAACTAAATTTGTTTCTTCACAATGCTTCAGAACTTTTGATAAATGTTCTAAACATGATTCAAATGAAATTCCAAATACTGAAAAATCATCTATAAAAATTTCAATCCCTTTTTCACTTAAATCACAAAAAATAGCCATCATAAATCTTTGAAATGTGTCAGGTGCATTAAATAAATCAAATGGTATTCTTCTAAAAGCAAATGTACCATAAGGATTGGTAAAATTTGTTTTCTCTTGATCCTCAGGAGTTATTTATATTTGGTGATAACCAGTATAACCATCCAGAAAATAAAAGTATTTATGCCTAGCTAGTCTATCCAGCATTTGATCTAGAAAGAGTAGTGGAAAATGATCTTTCTTAGTGCCAAGATTTAATTTTCTATAATCAATGCATATTGGTCATCATGTGACTTGTCTTGTTGGTATTAACTTATTATGTTCATTCAAAGTCACAGTCACTCCTCCTTTCTTAAGAATGCAGTGAATCGGACTAACCCATGAAATTTGAAATAAGGTAGATTATTCCATCTTCTAACCACTTTATAATTTCTTTCTTAACAACTTATTTTATAATAGGATTCAATCTCCTTTGAGGATCAACCTTGGGTTTGCAGTTCTCTTCCACATGAATTTTATGCATACAAATTGAAGGACTGATTCCTTTTATATTAGCAATTTCCATCCAAAGGCTTTCTTATAACTCTTTAAAGTTTTCATCTGACTCTCTTCTTCTTCTGTAGTTAATTTTGAGGAAATTATAACAGGTAATGTAGAGGAATCACCTAAAAAAACATACTTCAAATGTTCAGGAAGTAACTTTAACTTAAGCTCAGGAGGTTTTTCAATTGATGGACAAAAATATGGATCTTCTTCTGTCGTGTTTAAAACTTCAAAACTTTCTCGAACAAAATTTGAATCTTCCTTATATAAATTTTCATATCAATCTAATTCGTCTTCTTGTTCATGTTCCAACTCTTTAAATTCAAATTTTTCTTCATAAGTTGCTTTGAAATGGAATTCACTTAAATATCTTATCACATCCATCTTATAACATTCATCATCTTTACTTTTTACAGGGTATTTCATTGATTTAGAAATATTAAATGTAACTGTTTGATCATTGATGGGCATTGTTAATTCTCATTTCTGCACATCTATCATTATTTTTCCAGTTGCTAGGAAAGGTCTCCCCAAAATGATAGGTATCTCCTTATTTTCCTCCATATCTAGCACAATAAAATCAACAAGAAAGATAAATTGATCCACTTTCACTATGACATCTTCTATAACTCTTTTAGGATATGGTATTGAAAGATCTGCTAACCGCAGTATTACATTAGTTGAGGATATTTATGTTAATCCCAATCTTTTAAATATTGATAATGGCATAAGGTTGATGATTGCTCCTAAATCACATAAAGCTTTCCCATAAAATATGCCTCCTATTGTACATGGAATTGTAAAGCTACCGGGATCTTTAAGCTTTTCAGAAAGGTCTTTTTGAATTATAGCATTGCACTCCTCACTAAGTGAAACAGTCTCATTGTCTTCAGACTTCATATTCCTATTAAGAATAGCCTTCGTAAACTTTACATAGCTTAGCATTTGTTGTATAGCTTCAGTAAATTGAATATTAATTGTAAGCTTCTTAAAGATTTCCATAAATTTTGAAAATTTCTTATCCAACTTTTGATGTCGGAGCCTCTGAGGAAATGGAGGTGGTGGTTTTTCTAAATCAACTTTAAGTGGAGAAATAGGTCTCTCTAAACCTTTTAAAGTGTCCTCTTTTTATTCTTTAATCTCTTCTCTCTCTACTCCAATCTCTTTTTGAACTCTGTCTTCCAATTCTCTTCCACTTTTGAGTTGAACGACTTTTACTTGTTCTTTATTTTAGACTTTCAGATTTACTTTTGTATTCCGTTACTTAATGAATTTGTTATTTGTCTCAATTGATTCTCAATATTTCTAATTGTAGTTCCTTGACGTTGTAATTGATTTCCCCAATTATAACACTACTTTTTCTATAGACAACTTCTTCTTCTTAAATTGTGGATTACTGTTAAAACCTAGAGAATATGTAGGTCTATAATTGTTATTCCCTTGTTTGTTCCAATTTCTCAATGGGTTTACTTGATTGTTCCCCCATTGCTGATTATTATCACCCGAATTATTATTTCAGTTAAAGTTGAGATGGTTTTTACAACCTGGGTTGTAATAGTTTGAAAATGGGTCATTTTGCTTGTTGTTTATGGCATTAAAAGTCTCTAATGATGCTTGAGGATCTACCATTTGGCCTAATGAATTCCCTTTAATCATGGAAATTGGTTGAAAATAATTCATTTCAAATCTGTCTAACTTCCTTGAAATTGCAGCAACATGATTTACTAACATGGCAAAAGCATCAGTTTCATTAATATTGGCTACTTTTTTAAGATTTATTCTTTCAGAAGGCAATTGAAAATTATTAGTATTCATTTCTTCAATTAATGCATAAGCGTCACGAAATGGTTTTGACGTCAATAAACCACCAGTTGCGGCATTGATAATAGATCTAAGAGATCCAGCTAATACATTTGAAGAAGTTTGAATTATTAAACAATCTGGTATAGCATAGTGTGGACACTTTATTAAGAGTTCTTTAAATCGTTCCCAAGCTTCATAAATAAATTCTCCTTCAAACTGATAAAAAGATGTAATATTATTTCTCAGCTTTCGCAGTTTTTTATGATGGAAAATATTTATCAAGAAATTTCTACGCTAAATCACTTCAATTTCTAATAGATCCAGGTGATAACAAATGTAACCATATCTTAGTTTTATCCCTCAGTGAGAAAGGAAATAATCTAAGTTTAATAGCAGCATTTGATACACCATCATATTTAAATGTAGCACACAATTCTAGAAAATTGACAAGATGTAAATTTAGATCTTCAGTTGGTGCTCCCCCAAACTGATTATTTGATATCATTTAGATAATAGCGGGTTTAAGTTCAAATGAATTAGCCACTACAAAGGGTTTTTGGATACCACAATGATGTTCATCTACCGTAGGGTTTGCATAATCTCTTAAAGGTCTAAAAAACCCTAGGTTCCTCCTTTTAATAAAATCCTCCTTAAGCACTTGAAACTCTCCTTTCTCACTTACCCTCAAAACCAACTTTAATTTCTCCTCCTTGAATATGAAATTGAATCTCTCGTGGTCCCTACTTGATCCCTGCCCTTTTCTACCGCAGCAAAGAACCGCTCCATTGCTCCTTCCCGCAAGCAAGGATGGTTAGGGGGGCTGATGCTTTGGCCTTCGACTGTCCAAGAGGGATCGGTCCAAGGGAGGGCATGACAAGGGCGGGCGTAACAAATGAACACAACAAATAATCATGAAAAAAAGATTACTATAAAAGAATAGTCATGCATTTACATAAATACCACTGATTTCTATACTAATTACATGGCTAAAAACTAAATCCCTACTTTACTCCTATACTATCTAACTCTTCTAAACCATCCCTTTAACCCATATGGTTCATATTACTTGATATTTAGCAGTAAGGTAGTATAGTAGTAAAGAAGAGGTCTTGGGCATTAGATGTGCAAATATTGTAGAATTTAGTTGCGTGTATATAAATCACTGGGAAAAAAAATCATAGTAAAAATAACTATAAATCTTAGTTCACAAATAAGTTATCCCAAACACCTTTTAGGGTCTATTTGGTTGTAGTATTCTTTAGTTTAAGCTCGTTAAGAGATGGAGTTATTCCATCTGGTTTATTAAAAAGCTATAGGGTTGTTTGTGGTCACTTTAATTTTGATTATTTCATTTTTATTTTTATTTTATTTCATATATGTTTTTACTTGAAATAAAATATGTTTGATATGCTATAACATGTTAAATTATTTTTAAAAATTCTCAAAAAAAAAATTTAGATGTTATAAATATTTTTAAAAATAGATAAAGTGATATAAAAATAAAAATAAAAACATGCAAAAAAGTATTAGCAATCATAAAATAAAAGAAAAAATTTAAATAAAAAATAAAAAAATAAAAGTTATCTCAAACAACTCCTAACCTAGCATAAATTTAAATTATTCACGAGTAGTTTTAAGTTCAAGCTTTGTGCACTTAAATAAACTAGGAAGCGCCACTGTCTACAGGGTACTCCATTTGATATCGTGATTAACTTGCAAGTAAAAGTCATATGAAGATCCATGTTTTCTATGATAAAAAAAAACATTCACAATTAATAAATGTTTCTAGAGCTTGAACAATCATAGTCTTTAAGTTTGCATATGTTCCTTACAAAAGAAAAAGATCCTTCTAACCAAAATTAAAATAATAAACATGGCAACCTTGATTAAAATAACTAAAAAGTTTAGACATGATATAGCATACTGTTTTATCTGTTGCAATACGAAATGTTCCAGGAATTGACACACCTCCACCACCTCCCATAGTTATACCATCCAAAATAGCCACCTGCATTAAGTAAAATGAGCATGGACCAACAATTTAGAGTAAAAAGTATATTATGAGGATTAAAACCGATCATGAAATTATGCAAACATCTAGATCTACAAAATGTTGAAATAAGATTTAGCATCATACTTAAAAACAAACTCGTAAAATTATCAAACTAAAAAAAGGGAAGATTTACATACATAACACTTAATTCTAATGTATTTATATATCTTAACACCTAAACTTCCAATTTTTTACATATATGCTACCTTACATATGCATGAAAAGGTGTATTTCATTTTTTAAATTTTAAAATAGTATTATTTTTTATGTGATATGAAAGATATGGGCGGTGAAAAAGTAAAATGTAGAGTTTAGGTACTTGATATAAGCATACATAAGACTTAGGTGGAATGTATGTGAATGCCCCTAAAAATAGTTTTAAAAAGTGTGCAAGTCTGTAATTTATTGCTTCATTATTACCTATGAAAAATGATGCTTAAATTTTTTTTTTTATATCTGTGGTGGATGCATGCATGCATGCCTTGGAGACGCTTTGACACTAGCTCATTTTTGCTCTCAACTTGCCTTGCATAGGTCTTTGGCTTGGGATGCTCACACTTGTGACCCCGCTTTCTTAAGTGTGGTGGAGGCCGACTCCTCTCACACTACTTTTGTGTAGCTTTTATACCTCTCCTTAGTCCTTTTTGATTTTATATAAATGCAAAATGCACAACCTTCACGGAGACCTTTGATGCATGTTTGGCATGTTGAAAATCATATTTGATGTATTATTTCCTCCAAAGTTAGAGTAAAACATGTCATGCAAAAGTGGAGCCAATACCCAAACCTAAAGGCTATCAAAATCTTTAAGAGTTTGTTATGAAAGAGTTCAGAATATGAAATTTTACTCCCACATTTTGGAGGAAACAATATCTAAAGAGCTTGTATAGAAAAACTATCTGATTTAATTCAAAAAAATTAAATGATATGTCAATAGATCCACCAATGAAATTTCACTGGTGTGTTCTCATACTTATATACCGGGGCACAGGTATTTCAGTAAGTTTAATGGTTAAACATTAATTGGAAACTATATAGTTTATCTTAAACTAAAATATTGCACATAACTAACAGAGTACCATTAGCCATACCTTCAATACTAGACTTATGATTGTTGGAGCAAAACCTAAAAAATGTTCCAACCAAAAGGTGCGCATATTTAAATAATACAATCTAAAAATAGGCTATCCTTCATTTGCTTCTAGAGAGAATTTCGATGCTTGTACAAAATGTAGATGAATTGCCAAGTCCTATATTTGATATGAAGAGCAATATCTTTTTGAAAAAAGATGTTCCGTTCACACCTCAAAGTATTTTTGCTATTACCTTGATACTCTCAAGTCTAAACACATGTATTATCCCCAACATAAAAATAATATAAATTGTATTAAAAATTAAAAAAAAAATTAATTTTCTTCTCAAAAAATTAATTATGCTCTTATAAAGTTTGCTTAATATACATATGTGTGTGCTCTTGTACCTGTGCGGATTAAATTATATATATATATATATAATCTTATTAAAATATTTAATTTAACTTAGATTAAACCTAACATTACAAATTAGATCTAAACTTTTCATATATAAAAAAATATTTTACATTTTAAACATACCTTTAAGGGAAGAAATCACGAACTAGCTTAGCTAACTCCGTCTTTTGATTATCGTGTTCATGAGCATGCTTGATCACACTACTTTTCACATCAACTCGAGCCCCACCATGAGCTCGCACTTTCTCTCCTACCCGACTCTCCTTTGACTTCACCTCACTCAAGCGAACTGATTCGATAGTAAAGTTACACTAAATTCATTACCGATTAACTCTCAAGAACGACTACTCAACTCTGTCACCGCTTGCTTTTCTCACTCCTCACAATCTCCGCATGAACGATCGCACTTGTGAGCACAAATCAAGCTTAGCTTTACTATGGAGAGTAGGGCCTATGACAAGGGCACTTGCTCAATCTCCCCTCTGTAGTAGAGAAAGCCACCTTTTCATCTTTTTCATCTCTCGTGCTTCTCAGTCTCTGCTTTGCACAATATGTGTCGCCTCCCCTACTTATTTATTATAGCGAGATTCAATCAACCTCCCCCAGCTCATTTTGTTTCCTTCCCCATATCCCACACTCTATCTCCTTCACCAATACATTCTCTCCACTCCTGTAATTAATTTCCGCTATTTTTTTAAATATTATAGGCTTTACAATTCATGTCCTAATAGAATAAAATTTGACCTCCTTGATGAGGTGGCATGAAACTAGAACTATCAATTTGGGTTCATGGTTTAGGTTCATATTCAACTTGAAAATGATTTGACACAAAGGTAACTAATCAAAACATGATTTTTTTATCAAGCAGGAAAAAAAAAATCAAAACCAAAACTCAATTCAACTAAACTCAAATCCATTCAGACACAAAAAAAAAATACAAAATGAAAGGCTAGTGCCAACCAAATCTATAATGAAAATGATCACTAAATGTGAACATGATTACTTGGTTTGGACACAACTTAAATAAATAAAAAAATATTATGATTTAATAAAAGGTTTTCAAGAAAAAACAAAAACAATAATCAAATAGTTAAGTTGTTACTTTTTGGTTAGACTGAGCCTACCAGTCATTCAAGTAGACTTAAACTTGATCTGAATCTTACATGGGTTGACCCAGACTTACAGTTTTCAAATTGGGTCTTTGAAGCTCCTACATGAAACCATAAATAGATAGATTTATTTTGAACTAATTTAACATGAATTAAAGTTCTACATTGATAATACAAGTCACTACTTAGTTTAATGTTGTCCAAAGTCCATTAGAAATGGTTTTTCATGGCTATACCTAGATTTATTTGCTTGCTCAGTCCAATTCTAGTTGGGCTAAATTATGGTTTAGAGAGCCTTATGAATTACTCCCTTCCTCGTTGTAAAATCTCCTTGTACCCAATCTCCAAAAAAAAAATGTATGTTCACTTCCTCCCTCCTTATTATAGTCCCTTTTGTGTCCTCCCTCTTTATAAGAACTCCAATTTGCACACTGCAACTACCAAATGCAAATTCTCTACTTCCCTTTATCTGTTGTTCCATCTTTGTGATTGGATTTGAGTGTTACTTTTTGGTACAAATAGGAATTCCAAGAATTGTGAATAGTTTAAGGATGTAAAAGTTAAAGCCCTAAAGTTGTCTTTTTTCCTCTATCAAACACATTTGTTGAATATAATGACATTAGTCTAAGCATACAACAACAACAAGTCTTTATTCCACTAAGTGGGGTCAGGTACATGAATCCTTTTTCTCTATTGTGTCCTCTTGAGTGTTGTATTTTCATTTAATTCTAACAAATTAAAATCAATTTTTATACAACATGCCCAAGTCATTTTAAGTCCACCACTACCTTTCTTAACATAAGTCATTAGTCTAAGCATCATGTGAAATAAATTATTAGCTCATAAACTCCATCAAAAAATACAATCAATTAAAAATTTTCTAATCCTACATCCCAAAGCATGTTTCATGATACCATATAATACTAATCGCTTCAATGTCATAACATTGTGTCAACAATTATGTAAAGAATTAAACTACTTGTTGATACAAATACAAGTTAATAACTATAATAATTTTACATTTAGAAATATAAACCTTCAATGCATGAATTGCTAATATATAAACTCACATGTGGTTTCAGATAGGTGCCTAATATGTAAATAAATGTATACAAATGCTTGAAAAAATCCTTGCAGTCTTCCACTTTTCCTGCATAAGTTAAGTTTCACAAGTAATAAGTAATAACAACAAGTACGGTCCAACGTCACATAGCTGACATTCAATCATTAAAACGCGTAAAAAGAAGGGAAATATATAGACTTAGCGCACAATTCTTATGTATTTATATATCAAAGACCAAAATATCTAACACTTTGGTTCTTTAAACTTATTCATGAAAAGATGTATTTTACTTTTAAAAAGTGGTAATGCCAAACAATTGAGTGGTATGTTTGTAAATCTTTCAAAAAAAAGTTTCTGTAGCTTTTTTTTGTAACTGGTAACAAAATAAACACTATCCAACATACTTCTTCACAAAAATAAATAAATAAATAAAGTTTCTGTAGCTTTTTCAGGCAACTGATAACACAATAAATACTCTCCTCTTCAACCTCTCTAAATTTTAGTCTTTGTTCATTGATTATCGAGTTACTTTGTCATGATGTTATATAGCAATCAGAGGTAAGATTCTAGATAAACTGAAATAGATTATTGCATCATTATTTACATAATTCTAGTGACTAAAAAATAGAAATGAAATTGGCAACTTCACCAACCATGAAGATTAAAAAAGACACCTCAAAATCACATTGGTCCAACAAATTTCATTAGCAAGGTGGGACTTCAACATATTTCATTAGCAAAATGATATAGCTCGGCAAAAAAACAATCAAAAGTGGAATAGCACAAACCTTCCTTAAGTAGATTGTAAAGAGCCACGATATCACCACCAGCACAAAATGCCCTCCCACTTCCCTTTGAAACCAAAACCAACATTAAACTTTAATCTTCATGTTAAAAAGAATTTCATTAAATTCATTTTGTCTCATTTTTGCAAAACAAAAAAAAATTATAAACAAAAATCATTAATCATTAATAATAATAAAAGTGAAAAAAAGGAATATATACCTCACACCTAAACCTCAAATTATATATATAATACCACCTTACCCATGCATGACAAGATGTATTCACTTTCTAAACGTTAAAATGGTGGTATTTTTATGTGATATGAAAATTTTGGAAGGTATAAATGTAAAAAGTAAAAGTTTACGTGTTAGGTATGTAAATTTCTATGAATTATTTGGTATGTATGTAAATGCCACAAAAGAAAAAAAAAAGGAAAAGAGATAGTTTTCAGCTTAACAAAGTTCTACCTTCATCATAACAAATCCAATGTCAGCATTGTCTTCCCACGACTCATACAATTTCTTCAAACGAAGTCCCTTTGGAAAAAAAAAATAATGTTTGCCCCCAGCTAGTCAAAACCTCAAACAGCCTATGTGCATCACACAAGAAACAAAAAGACAAACACATTTGATAAAAACAGAGCACGTACCATGTTGGTTGTCAGCGCATTAAGAGCTGACGGCCTATTAAGAATCGCCGCACGGGCGCTCGCTTTCCCTTCTATAAGCACCTTAAATCCAATACATAAATCAATAAGAACATCAATGTAGAGAGGAACCATAAATCGGATGTCATGAAAACGACCTCAGTCTTGAGATCGTCATCAACGGCGGCAGTCGAGATTGCCGAAAAGCTTCTGTTGTGAGGGAGGAGATGGAGGGAGCCAAGACACCGTCGGGCCAACGAAAAGGTTTTCATGATCCTCATCTTATCGCTTTGTTTGATGAGGTGGAGAGAAAATAGATGGAGGGGTGAAGATAATGGCCGCCGGGAAATCGCGCTGTGTTCCCGCTCCGCTGCCGCGAGGATCGGAGGATGTTCTGAGTAGGGTTTTGGCGGGGAAGACTCCGATGCGGGAACGAGTCGGCCGATATACAGAATAGAATATTGTTAGGGGTGTAAACGAGCCGAACACAGCGAGTTTGAGCTCAAAAAATGTCTTCGTTCGACTCTTTTGCTTAGCCACCAACTAAGAGTAGTTTGACAATCTAATCATGTAAGACAAGATTTAAAAATTATTATTTATATTAAATTATCACTTAAATCTAATTTAATAATTTTAATTCTAATTTCTTAATTTATACTTTAACTGATTATAAATTTTTATAGTTTTGTAGTCAATTAAATTTTTTAAAAATACTACTAATCAAATATATATATATATAATTGATTAGTAATATTTCGAGCCAAAAAGAGCCGAACACGAACGAATAAATCTTGGTTCGTGTTGTTCGTGTTTGAAACGAACCAAACACGAGCTTCTTAACGAGTCAAACACGAGCTGTTCGCGAACAACGAGCCATTTTGATAGCCCTAGTTATAGTTGTTTAAGATAATTCTTAATTTCTTAATCATTGACGACTAATCAATTTCAATAAAAATAATTTTTCAAATTTATTATTATAAATTAACTATTTTAAAATTTTCAAAAAAAAAAATGTTCAAAGTGACTTCTTTGGTTCATTTTTTAATAAAATAAATTTATTAATAAATTTTAAGTCATTTTTTTTATGAATTTTAAATTAGAATTTGTTTGATGATTAGTTAAATAATTAGTTCATTATTATAAACCCATTTTTTAAAAAATTTTAATATAATTTTTTTAATTCTAACAAAACAAAACAAATAAAATTTTAATTTTTTTTATGCTTATAGTAGTTTAAAAAAAAAAGAATTAATTACAAAAATCTAATATGATTTTAATAAAAAAGGACTAATTAGAAATAGAAATTTTTAGAGACAAACATTTTAGGAGGTTTAATGGTCTCTAACATCTTACTACTTCGATAAGTTATGGCTTATTTTATTGTTTGTAAATTTTATTTTTTTAATGTGAAATTAAGGTTTTATTTTTTTCTCTACTCCCGAGAATTTTTTTCATAAATTGTTCGCACGAAGCACCGTGCTGCGTTCCACTTGATCACGACAATCTCAGTCATTGTCTGCACGGTGCTCTCAATGCACAACCCTTGGGGCTCTCTCAACCAAGGCAATGGCTGACTTGACACAGTCTTGATTTATTAGCCATTTGACCACCATAAATCAGGAATAATTGTGAAAAGCTTCATATATCTAATTGAGGCATATTTCCTTACTAATTACAAGCTTGTTTTTAAATTTGCCCAAGGCCAAAACCCATCCACCATACATAAAAGTCATCCAAAAATTGGTGGCAAGATTTTGTTCCTAAATGACTTAGAGATTTGTTTGGGGTGGCTATAACTTCTTAAGAAAAAAAAGTGATTATAAACCCAGGTTATTGCTTCTACACATTCCATGACATTTTTTGAAACTTTCATGATGAAAGTGCCAAGATAGTTGATATCATGCTTTTCGGGCTACTCAACATACATTGTGGCTGGCATGCGCTGTCAGAGTTGAATTCATTCTGAACATCCAACAACAACTTGATACATTTTGTTGCAATGGTGAAGAGACGAGAGTCGATATCTCCTACTATTGTAGTGTTAAAAACCATTGAGACGTGGCTTACCACCATTTTGGCTGCAAGATAGCCTGGGAGAGGAGAAAACATTACGTTTGAATAATGGACGTGTTGATGACAGCGTGGATCGCACCACACTACCAAACGCATGGCGTGGTGGATCCACGTCGTCGTCCGCATGTCTGGTTTACCATACGTAATATTTTCTCCTATGAGAGAGGTATGGGATATAGTGATAGACTTTGAACTTGATATATTAAGTTAAATCTTGTAATCATGGGATGAGGAATAATGGGTGGAGACAATCGCGATGGTGAAGATGGGGAGGATTTATTGCATGTGTGGTGTGCTTGGGATGTTTAAGAGAGGATTGGTAAGTGACTTGAACATCTGAAAATTCATAAAATTTTCAAATCATAGTTATAGAATTGACAGAATGCTTCATTTGGATGATTAGAGCCAACTAAACAATCCATAATAATGCACATAATGAATCAGAAACAAATAGAAATCAACATTTAGAAAATTCTGCTGATATATATATTCATCCATCCACTGAATCTCAGTTCATCACCAGCTTTAATCATTCCTCCAGGCTGATTCCAGAACAAAAACAATGAATTTATTGATCAATTAGTATGTTATGTTCAAAATCACAACAGCATACAAAACTAAGCAGATTCACACTCCATGTTAACCTAATCTAAAGATAGCCAAGGCCACAACTTAAAGTTTTATAACGCAAATTTGAAAAAAAATAAAAAACTCTGTTAAAAGTGGTTGTTTTATTGAATCTGAAGGATTAAAGAAAGTTTTCCTGGTAAGAGATTCAATAGAACAAACCTCTAGAGAAGAGAGTCGAAACAAAGTAATAACTGGAAGAGTCAAAGTGGAAGGAGCAGCACAGGGCAGGGGATGAATTCTGCTAATAGATTCCCATCAACCTGTTTTGAATGGATTGCTTCCATGCTCAATACTACCAAATCGAGATTGAGGTCATCAGCAACCTCGCCAATGACGGAAGTCGGCATCTTTTCTTCTCCAAGACGTTCCAGAAGTCTGAATTCTGAAAATCCACCTGAATGAAAAAAAAAAAAAAAATCAAACTTTAACATTTCGGAGCATTTACATACAGACCACCAATTTCTTTAAATATTTAATACCTAAATTCGGCTTTTTACAATTATACTACTCAAAACTTCCGTATCTCATAAAAAATGCCTCCATTTTAACTTCTAAATAGTGGAAGACACCTTTTCATGAATTGGAAGGATGGAATATATGTAAAAATGAAGGTTTAGGTGTTAGAAATGTAAATACATATGAATTAAGTGGCGTATCTGTAAATCTTATTAATATTTTACTCCTGAAAGAAAATATCAGCCATCAGTAAAAAAACAAATAGAAGATATAAAGGGTTACAATTTTTACTCAATTGTGGACAAGCACAATAAAGAAAAATGCGATAAAAAAGAATATCCTCAACAATGAGAAAAGATTAAAATAAAAAAATACTTAGAACTTTTACTATAACTAATTATCAAATGTTATAATTTATATGTCAATAGAAACTTGTTCTAATGAATTCATAAATTTCTATTTAAAAAGGAGATCCAAAATTGTAGGAACTCGAAAAGACCTCTTGGCATGGTGCAAAGGATGATACTCAAGCCTGAAATCTATTGTTATGATGAACAAGGTTGCATCCTACAAGAATTTTCTCATAAATGTTTTATGGGGAATGCTCAAAAAGCACCTTCTGTACTCTTATTTGTACATAAATATAGGTATAAATAACAAGTCTCTTCCAAAGTTTGAGGAGTGTTTTCAGCTGATAACATGTGAATTTTTAAATATAAAAGTTTACTAACTTTCACAAACAAATCTCCACCCAAGGCAAAAATATTGTTCAAAGATCAACTTTGTATGATATTCAACGACAAGTCACAGTCTATATAGCATAGACCTGGTCCTAAAAGTATGAAAAGTATGATTCAAAAGTACCCATGTAACAATTTTTTGAAGAACTCTTCATAAAATTTCTATAAGAAATTCCTTCATATGATTTTTGCCAATCGAGCATATATATATATATTATTATTATTATTTATTTGGTGCATTTACATACATGGCACACAATTCTTATGTATTTACATATCTCAGATCTAAAATTTCATAATAACACACAGCACCCAAAACTTTAATATCATATAAAAAATAGCACTATATTCACTTTTTAAAAGTGAAATACGCATTTTCATGCATAAGTTTAAGGCACAGCTATGTATGTAGAAATGAATGTTCAGGTGTTAGATATGTTAATACATAAGAAATTTGTGTGCATAAGTAGATTTCCCTCTTTTTAATTACCAACCTTCTGAAAGATGCCA